TTGTCCCCCTCCTTCTGTCTGTCTGTGTATTCTTTTGCTATCCCTATCGCTGCTGGATCTCCCCTCCTCGTGAACCAAACACTCATGAACAACACAACTATGTCGAGGACAGTCACCGACATAAATGGTGCCTGAACAGGGACTGTCCCCAACAGCCCCCCTCATTCTGCAACTGAGCACACCCATGAAAGGTTGTAAGCCAGTCATTTCATGTCTTTATAGCACCCCTTGATAGCCAGTATCTAAATTGCCTGTCCCCATCAACCCAGAACACTGAGGAGACAAGCACGTGCTTTGATCTGAAGAATCTAATATTCTGGTTGGAATTTTGAGCATCTTCACTCATAAGCAAAAATCCAGTTCATCAAATTATACTTGCCTATGGTATGGTGGTGGTGGTGTTCAGATTCTTAGCGGCCCTGCATAGGGTTTCCATGGCTACATATCTTTACAGGAGCAGAAAGCCTCATTTTTTTCCCACAGAACAGCTGGTAGTTTCAAACTGCTGACCTTGATTGAGGTTAGCAGCCCAACTCGTAACCACTATGCTACTAGAGCTACTTTGCTTTATCTTTATCTTTCTTTATCTGGTCGGGTTCTGGTCAGTTCAGCACTAACCTTCCAAACTAGGTTAAATGGGTATCAGTTGCAAGTTTCAGAGTTCACACACACCTCCCTGTACTTCAGCCCTAGCCCCTAGAACCTAGGTCAGTGCCCATGAGCTCAGGAATTCACACAACTCCCTAAACTTCAGACCAGCCAGCCCTTCCTCTTCTCTCGCTCATCTCAAGGTCAATGGATGCCAATGGAACATACCCAAACTTAGCCCATGTCTTCATTGCTGCATTTCCCCCACTTCCACTCACAAGTAGATCCATTTGATTTCTTGACTTCTGCTTACATGAGTGTTGATTGTGGATCCAGTCAAAATGAAGTCTTTGATAACTTCAATCTTTCCTCCTTTTATCATGATGTTATTTATTGGACCAGTTGCTAGAATTTTTGTTTTCTTTACACTGAATTGCAATCCATACTAAAGACTGCGGTCTTTGATCTTTATCAGTAAGTGTTTTAAGTTCTCTTCACTTTAAACATATTATCTGCATATTGCAGGTTTTTAATGAATAAGACAGATAATAATAAATAAAAGCTTGTAGAGTGCAAACTGAAGGATGTGGAGCTCTGTCAGCATTATCTCCAATTCTCCCAACTCCTCCCAGATGACCTCTGAGAGACACACAACTAAAGGTCTTCTAAACTCACAGTTTAAAAATCATATTTATAATTTATTGTAGGTTCATTTTGTTTTTATCTTATTACCATATTTTTGTACATATTGTACCTACATAAATAATAAGAATGCACATAGTATGCATAGGAAACTAAGACAAAAGGGAGTTATGCACTTAGAACAAACCATATAACGTGTCTGTTATTTGTGTAAAACACTGTATTTTCCTTTAGAAAATGATAAATTACATAAAGCAGAAAATCTTTGTTTCTAGATTCTGGGTCCTTTGAGTACATTTTTGCTGTTATCCCTCTTTCTGAAGGCAACCTTATAGAGATAGGATTGACCTCAGAGGCAATTGTGCCTGAGAGCTCTCTATGTATAGAAAAGATCTTATTGTCATGAACTCATGATAAAAACTTGTATCTTGAACTCAGACTGTTTCTTTTTATTCATTAGATATGTCTGCCTCTGCTCATTCCAAGGTGGTGATCATCACAGTCAATTCTCTGGGTAGTTCTCAGTCCTATCTTGATGTGGTGCAGAGCAATGTAGATATGTTCAGAGCCCTTGTCCCAGCTCTGGGACATTATAGTCAAAACAGTGTCCTGCTTGTCGCATCACAGCCAGGTAAACACTTAACTTTTCAATTAATCTGATAGCCCAGTGCCTCAGTAGAATTGTCATTACTAATAAAAGTCATAAAATTTTAAATTATAAAGGAATAGCTAGATAGTATTCAGTTAAATAGGAGTCCTGGTGTGGCGCTGTGGACTAGTGCGTCAGACTACAAAGTCATTTGAACTGCAAGGTCGGTGGTGCAATCTTACCAGCTGTTCCTTGAAAACCGTATACAGGGTCACTATGGGTCAGAATTTACTCGACAGTGCTTAACAACAGCATTCAGTTAAATTGCTCTTATAATGAACATTACAGTATTTCCACATCCTGACAACCATATACCTCTTATTACTGCCAATAGCTTGAAGGGTTAACTTCTCATTTATAATGTAATGTGATATTATATTCCATGTTGTCAGCCATGCCTTTCTATGTGGAAATGGTGAAATACCCTGAATTAAAATAGTGATTTATATGAAAGATGTTAACTGTGTACAAATGTAAAAACCTTCCCTAAAAGCCGAGACTGTAAATTCCAAAAAGGCAAGTCCTCCCCCATCCAACAACAACAACAAAAAAAGCTAAAGAGGATAGAGAGAAACACTGTTAACTGATGATATATGGAGGGGATAATAATCAATGTAATGAAACAAGCTATATGAATGGTTGAATGTGAAGCTGATGATGTGCCCTGTAAACTTTCACTCAATCCAAAATAAAAACATTTAATTAAAAAAAAAAAGATGTTAACTGTGAAATATCATAAAATAGTGAGAATGACAAGGTGCATTTTAAACATTTGGTAGTATGCAAATTGCTTTGGAACTATTTTCCTTAAAAGAGTAATATTTCCAGAGTTACGTGGTACTGGATCTAAATTGGTGAATACACTTTTTAAATGCGCCCAGTATATATTTGATTGCCTGGCTCATAAGCACTGAAACGCTAATTGCAAGGTTGGTTCAAACCCACCAGCCATTCTTGGAAACCCTACACAGGGTTGCTGTGAGTAGGAACCAACTCGACAACCTACAACAATACAACATACATTTGGAGCATGATATGCGTCTTACTTGTGTTTCTATACTGATTAATTGACAGACATTAATCTCCTCAATTCCTGACATCTGTTTGGCATATAAGAAAAAAGTAATTATGTTTTTGTTCATAATGCTATCTTGCATAGTCATATATCAATCAGCATTTCCATTTAAAGACTGAAATTCAACTTGTTAAGACAGATTTAGAGAGAATATGATCAATGATATTCTGGTATTTTGTACCATTTTTAGCTTTCTTGCTTAACTGTTGTAGGAAATGATTGATTTTCTAGTCTTAAACAATTTATATTTAACAACAAAGTTATATAAAATCATGGTAAAACCTGGTTAGTGCTTTTAATATACATAAAGAATTATATACCTCATAGGGCATATTAGGCCTAACAAGAGCATTTAGAAGCTGTAAAATGCTTACTAAAATAATAAATATTTTGATTGTGAGCTAGGCTAGAAATATGTGAAAAATAACCTTTATGTTTTCAACTTGCATGCAACTACTTAGTGGAAATCATGACCTATGTGACATGGAAGCTGAGTGCATTTCCTGAAAACCGAGTGATTGGAATCGGATGTAATCTGGATTCACAGAGATTGCAATATATTATTACAAATGTTTTGAAAGCAGAGACTTTGGGAAAAGATGTATGGGTTATTGGTGAGCAAGGAGAAGACAAAGGTAAGAAATTTAGTTTTATTGTAACCTAGTAAATCAGTAGTCCTGGCATTCAGATATATCTGTGGAATCTAAAATTGTGGCACTTAGTTGGTTTCTGGTCCACAGTAAGTGCCTTCTGTGTTTCACAAATGGACTCTTCACATGTGTCCTTCCATTGTCGTTACTTTTCTTTAAGTTTCACATTGGGTAAGTTACTTTTTAAAATTTGCACTTTTTTCTGTTGTATAATTTTGCCATTATGGATATTTGTATACTTTTTAATTTTCTTTTTAAGGTTTATATTGTGGATTCACCGAAAGTTTACAGGGCAGATCATCAGTTTTACATTCAAAAAATCATAAACCTTGCTTCATTAGAGTGATTATAATCCCCTCCATGTACTAACAGTTAACAGTATTTCTCTCTATTCACTTTAGCTTTTTAAAAACAAAAACAAAAAACACTTAGGCTTATATAATAATTTACACCTGCAAGTCTGCCTCCTGGCCACCAGCTCTTAGTTCCTCTCTTCCTATGAATCTATAGTCCTCAGCCACTCCCTTTTTCCATGTCCCCATCTCTGCCTTCATCTCTGGCATCGCTGCTTCTCTGGAAAAGGTCGCACATTCTGCTTTTGCTCTTCTCCCCTGATGGTCCTAGGGTCCTCTATTTCTGGACTGTAAGATTAACTACTCTCCTGTTTTTGTTATAAAACTTCTACCTTT